TACACACACACACACACGCATGCACACCCAAAATGAAGGGAACGATTGGATTTATATCTTATGTTATAATCCTCTTAAAAAAAATAATTTTAAAAATTGTTTTACATGTATAATAATTAATTTGTGACAAGACAACAAGTTAATAACGTCCAGAGTAAAATGCGAAACAAAACATGTTTTCCTAGAGTAGGGGAACTAACTCCAAATTCTCCATTCATATCCTTGGTTTCATTTTCTACTTTCTCTTCTGGACACTACATTCCTTTTCCTCATTAACCATGGTTGTCAAGTTTCTCCGCATCACGCCGGCTATTTTGCGAAGACTCAACCATTATATACCCCGTTCTACTGGTGAGAACCATGTGTATCCCAGTTATGAGTTTTGGGATGGGGTCCGGGCTCGGGAAGTCTGCAAGAATGAGTCGTATTTTTTGTTGACTCCTTTCACTTTCACTTTGGGGCTGTTCAAATATATAATAATCTTTACACCTTTTTGGGGACTTTTTGACACGCCCCCCTTCTTACACTTTTCTTGCATTTGCCCCCTCCCCCCCCCTGCCCCCCGTAATATTACATTGTTCGCTTATAGTACTAGTAATATTACATTTAAATCGCACAAATTTTATCCGTGTTAAAACAATCATTGCTCCATGCGCTTTACATGTTCATAATATTCATGAAAAACTTGGATATGTTCTGCGCAATTTACAATCTTAAGATTGCGTGTTTTAACGGTTGTATAATTGCGCGGCAATCTTAAGATTGCGCTGCACATTTTAATGATTGTGTTAATTCAGTTCCATCTTTATTCTTTTACTCTTACTCACATCAAGGAACATTCACTGAAACTGAAGAGCTCACAAGAATGATAAAATTATATAGATCTAGATCTAATCGTTAAAACGCGCAGCGCAATCTTAAAATTGCCCCACAATCGTAAGATTGCCAATCAATTATACGATCGTTAAAACGAGCAGTGCAATCTTAAGATCGGTACTTTGTGCGGAACACATACACCGATATCATACGTATGCACATAATAATATGCAGTTCTACATTTACTAAAAAAATAACAGAGTAGGTCATTTAAGAAAAATATTGCATACACACACTTTTTCTTACTACTAATAAGAAAAAAATTGAGACTCATGTCAATTTCAAAAGCGCCTTAAACAAATTACAGTGGAATTCAGGACCGAAAACAAGTGTTGACTTTCAGCAAGGTTGACTTTATACATTGTACTTACTCGCCATTGAAAAATGAAGATGACAGCTACAAAATTATAAAGTACCTGGTAACAAGATGTTAGCTCAATTTCAGTGAGTAAAATTCTGAAGTTGTCACCAAAACAAGAGATAATGAGTGGACAAAGTAATTGGAGGTGTGTACACCACTAGCTCAAGACCTATATTATATCTATTCTTAAATGAATTCATCTTGGGATTTAGCCCCAAATTGTTGACTTTACGCAAGGTTAACACTCAAGCGGTTGACTGTACATGTATCAGAAACACAATTACTTGAACAAAGAAGGTAAGAATCAGGACCACAGTGAGGTGTTGACTGTAAGCAAGAGCAGTTGATTTTATCAGGATTAAGGATTCCACTGTATCTGTTATTGTTATTACAATTATGCTTAAAACTGAAAGTGAAATTAGTTATCATCAACAAAGGCAGTGTTCATCATTATTCATTATGTCAAATATATATTTTAAAACAGGGGCATCTGCCGAACTGTCTTCCAAATATGGGTCCTGTTCCAACTTCCTGCTCTGTCTCCTCTTCTTCCTCAACCTCCATTTCTTCCTGTGTAAAGCCCTGTGCCTCTTCAATGCTGCAATACTTGGAAAATATTTTCCATTTTCCTTGTGGCCTCTGCACACCATGCAGCCTTTCTTGACCAAGATCACCCTTTTTTCCTTATTTTTTCACCTCACAAAAGTGTAATATATATTACATTGGTTCAAGACCCCCCCCCCTCTTACACTTTTCTTACAGGAGCCAAAGACCCCACCCCCCCCCCCCCTTCCAGGTGTAAGATTATAGTTGAACAGCCCCTTTCTTCTTCTTCACTTCAACTTTCCGCGACTCGACGATCTAGATCTACATTTTTTTCTTGTCGTCTCATTCTTGTCCACGTCGATTCCGACTCAGATTAGTTAATAGTATAGCTAGACTCAGTCTCTGAGTCTGGAATAATAGTGTTTAGATCTACCACCCTTGTGTATTTAAGCTATGAAATTTGGGATGGGGCCCAAGCCCGATTTCTTGAGTGCAAGTATCTAAATCTAGAACCTGGACTTTAGGTGTCACACAGCATTTTAACCTAATTTGTTTTTGATTCAACATTTTTGTTTTTTCCGTTTTCCCTTCTTGTTTTTGTCCATAGTTTATTTTAGTACATGTAGGCCTAATTAGATCTAGATCTAGTATTTTTAAATGTAACCCTAAAGCTTGACTTCGTCTCTGTGTTTCAAATTTATAACAGCGTTTAACTTTGGAATTTTTGTGTTTAGTAAATAAAAAATAAAATAGACTAAGTTGGTCCCATTTTAGTTGAAGGTTTACTGCCATGTTTCTGATTCCGTTTAGAGTCTACCCCTAGATGGTCTGACAACTGGTTCAGGTGAAGGTTCACTAGGTGGTGTTTCTGGTATACTGTAGTAGTATACAGTGCAGGTATTTGTGACTGTCATTGGCCATATGATGAAAAATGTTTTAGTGGTTGAAGTTTGTCAGAGGGGAGGGGAATGGGAAGTTGTTTGTGTGGGGGGAGGGTAGGGTGGGGAGCTACCTCCTAGAGTTATAAAAAGTATACCTATCAGGTCACTAGTCAAATTTTTCAAATCTAAAAGACACCTCAAAATGAAGCAATCCGCATGCATGTGACCTCAGTTGTGTAATGCCACTGCCTTTGGTCTAAATTTTAAATAGCTGGCAGTGCTGTCATTACCTTGGCCAAAATCATGACCAAGGACTAATGCCAAGATCACAATGAATAGACTGTGGTCTGTTGGGCAGGACTTAAGGTAAACCACCATAGCACAGTAGACATTTCAACTATACTGGCACCCCTTAGCCTTTGCACTTTGACTTGTAGTCATGGAACTGATGTAATACTATAGGTCTATCTCAAATTCATGAGGGGAAAGAGATGTCACGTAATTGTGTGTACTCCAACACTTCATGTACATGTATTTGCAAAGTACCAGATGGTACCTTACAATAAAAGAACTACATTAACATTATATCGTTGTCATCATAAACGATTGCCCCTGATATGCTCTTGAGAAATTTACGTTCATTTTAAAGTCAGTTTTTTAAATTTTATCTAAACTTGTAGATCATACAATTTGCTTGTTTGCAGTTTGTCGAACCCTGCTGAGTGATCCTAGCTTAAAGATTGATCATTTTGCAAAGAGGAGAATTTTTCAAGTGGATCTGCTGGGTAAAGATGGTAAAGGTAAGCATGTGAGATGAGATCAGGGTTTTTCAGAGAGATCAGTTAGTGTAAATACTTTCCTTTTGCTTCTTGTACACATGCACTTTGGGGGATTTTTTGCTGCCTTCACAAGTCATGGAGAAAACTGTACTTTTGTTTTCTATATCAGTATTAATTCAAGATATTAGTCGAGATCAGGTGATGATTTTGTGTTAAAGTTTTTTTTTTACATGATTTTGTGTAATGTTTTTCTTCAAATAATCTTGAAGATCATTTACTTCCGTCACTCTACTGAGAATCTCATTACAGCAAATTTTTTCCCCCAAAATAATCGCACCACATTGACTTACATATCATCTAAGATTCTTCACTTTATGCATAAAATAAGAATACATTTTTTACTCTTATCTTTGCGGCAGACAAGAGAAACTTAATCTGTCTTCAGGGGGTCATGTTTTATTATTGTATAGAATACTGCAGTTTTTAATAATGTAAGTTGCTACTTTGTCTTTTGCTGGGCTTTGAAATGTTTTTTTTTTTTAGGAACACAGAAATGATTAAAGTCTTGGAAAGTATAGATTCTCAGATCTTTTTTTTTCTTTCTACATTGTAGGCCTACTCTTGCAAGATTTAGGTGGCTCCAATGGTTGAGTAGTCAGTGAATGAAGAACATCCGTGTGCAAAGTTAGATTGATCCTTAATCAAAATGGGAGAACTGTAGTGCAGAAATTAGCACCTGTGTTGTTTCTTTATATATTCTTTTGCTTACATGGACTATAATGTACCATAGAGATCTGATTGCTAAATCTTTATGGGATAGAATAAAAAAGTGGTTGCTTTTAAATGTAAGCTCTCTGAAGACAAATATAGTTGTTTCTCCTCCTCCTCCAATCCTCTATTCCCCAAATCATTGATACATTTATACCACGCTTTTCTCTGCTATAGTGATTACTAATGTTAATTTTTGTTTAAAATAACCCCCTGTTGTTCCTTTACAGCAAAGCTGGCGAAGAAATTGCAGACAATGTCAAGCTCGGATGAGGCCAGACATGCCACCCATGACATAGTTGATCTCTTACACTGTGCAGATGTTGAGGATATCCCCCTCATTAATAATCTCATCCTGTTAGTGAGGTACAAATTGCTGTCTTAGACAATATGTCTCATTCAGAGTATATTACCAGCTAAAAACTGTCTGTACACTTTTCTAAAATGTCTTCAAAATGCCAGAAATGCAGTACTGAGATGTTATGCTTGAAAAAAGTTCAGGGAAAGATTTCATGTCTATTGATGTTGTTTGCTTAGCTTTATATTGTTGATTTATCTTCAATTCTTGGTAAGGATCATGAAATTCATTAACTCCTTGTCTTCGGCAAGCCGCTTCCAGCTGCTCGCGTTCGAAACCTCTGTGATGGTGAGCCGCTCTCAGCGGCTAGGGCACATTCCTTTACGACGACTTTGGCATCAAATTACTTTTCGGCGACATCGCCGAAAGCAAGTTTCTTTTACCCGGAGATCACTCAATGGATGAAGAACTAAAGAAATAATTTCACTTTCAAAAAATAAAAATCGTCAATTTAGTGACGTGTATGTGCCAGTTTTAGATTTCGTGCCAAAATAAGGCCCCGGCATAGTGGGTTTACCCCCTATGGAGATAAGGAGTTAATAATATAAAGGAAGATTTACTGAAGGGGGGGGTGAGAGTTTTACATCTGGATACCATTTAGAATGATTTGATATTTCTTCCTTGACTTGCCTTTTGCCTAACTTAAATGAGAAAATGAAAAGAAACGTCACAGTACTGATAGCCTATCTTCCTAATTTTTCATTGCCCTCCATTTCTTGGCTAGCGGCTTGGATCTTGTTTTCACAATATTTATTGTGATTTTGTCAGCATTTTTTTGGTCACTGAGGTAATCGTCTTAAAATGTATGTCTGCTCATAGAATGAACTTTTTTTATACAGCAGTAATGTATGTCTTGCGCTTGTATTATTCTCTGTGGTGTTTCCATTTAACCTTGTACATTGCCCTATTTGTTACAAATAAGAACCAGGTCTAAATTCCCCTATTAATGACAAGTAAATTTGTCTGAAAAAATTTCAGTGTCAGTGATGTGTTTTGAAACTTTGCCATTTATATTTGATTAATATGTACAGCCAAATATTGTCTACATTGTTAGCCATCCATATTTTATATTCAGGTCATAGAAAATTTGAATTGACCTCACTACTTTGTTATGATTGCCTTTAAAAAAAAAAAGTGGGTTCCATTTTCTTTTCATCTTTTTCATTCCAGCGATCCAGATGTTGTTCAGTCCCGAGCTTTCAACTTTGGGGTTACTTTAATCAGACTTTATCATTTCTTGAATTTACCAGAGGAGGCTCACAGTGTGTACAGCAATCCGGTATGAAAACTTCACAGTTTGGTTTCCTTTTCTTTTCATACAAAGAAATTTCTTTTGGTTTTGGTCGGGTTGTGTTATTTATGTTCCCAAAATGGGGAGATCTAGGGGGGAAAATTCAGAAGAGTAAATTGAACTTAACTATCGAACATGGGTTTTCCAACGTTTGCACAATGACTTATATCAATTTGTCTTAACACTTGGAAATTTTTTCAAACATCTGTACACTGTATTCTAGAAATTTCCTTAATACATACAAATAAAAAATCCCAGTCAATGATATCTACAGATTTTACAAAAGCTTACAGCTGGGGCAATATAATCGTGTTTAAAAGCGCGTAAGTAATTTTTTTCTAATCGCAAAATTATACTTATTGAATGCCTGTTTTGATAACTTTTATTGCAAAAAATGTGTTCACTATAACATTAAGTTTTTGTAACAAGTTTTGCCACTAAAAAGTGTCATTGGCGAGCTGTGACATAGGCCATATACGTACGCAAAATATGTGTGAGAAGCGGCAAGTGCTGTGAACAATATAATCATATTTTCTGCACAATGGAGATTTGTCGTATTTTATATAAATTAATGAAGAAAATTTTTTAAATCGAGCCTCAATTGTTGCAAAAAAATATAATTAAGTTAAGGCAAATTGATACAAACTGCTGTGCAAAATATGGGTGACATTGATTCACCCGTTAAAGAGATATTTGAGGATAAGTTGCGCCACAGGTTTTTGACTGCACTATAATCATAAATGTCGATTCTTTGAATAGAGATGCTTCTCATCTCCAGTAATTTTTTCTCCAGGAGTGCCTACTTCTATTTCAAGATGCCACAAGTCATAAGGTTCTCATGGACCTGATGTATAAGAACAAGCTGTTCACCCAAGTTGTGGAGGTTTATTCAATGCTGAAGCACTTCAACATTGACTGTGTAACTCTGGTCCTGGGAGCTCTCTATCACCTGGTAAATTTTCATAATTTTGGAAAAAAGTGAATTTGAGATGTTTTTGCTATAATCTTTTCAAGTGCCTAACATTTTGACTCAATTTTTTTCTTAAGAATCTGTTCTCATGTTTTTAGTCCCCTGTACTTTTGAAAGAATTCATGTTGCTTGCAAAATATGTGGAAATCATGAGATTCTCTGAAAGCTACAAATGAAAGAAGTACTTTTTAATGTTTTGTTTTATAAATTTTTCATTGTTTTCAAATTCTTACCTTTTCAGTGCTGAAATAAACAAAAAAGCCTTTGTTCTCATAGTTTTTGTTGCAGTGCATTAAAAAAAAATTGTTTCTCATTCAGGTGTTCTGATAGGTAGATACTGACAAGCGTAGTTTCACTTTTTTGCTCGATTGTCTTGACTTGTCTCAAATGAATTCAGCATTAGGCCCTATAGCATTTGGATATTTTTCTTTACAATCAAATTGAATAGTCTAATGATGGAATTTTTCTGAAGGCTTCTTTTTAAACTTTGATGTTTGTTTAATATTTTACTCTTCATCTTGAGATGCTGTATAAATTTAAACTCTATATGTAGAGAAAGGGAAGTCTACTTTTTCTGTTAGTAGATTTTTAGAGTTATATCATTATCCTTTATTCAGGTTGTGCTGTATTATCGTTTCCTTTTTTTTGACACTGGTTCTTTATGGAACTAGATTTATTTCACTATGCATAGTGCTGTGGACTCCATAAACCATGTATGCTGATTTCCCATTTTTTCACCTTCTGATTCTTTTATTTGAAATATGAAACATGATCTTGTTGCTTGGCATTAGAATCATTGGGCATCTGAATGACATAGCTCAAGATGCTGTTTCTTAGATGTTAACTCCAAGAGAAATCGTTTCCAGTGATCATTTACCTTTTTATTTTGATGGGATTACAGAACACTCCAGATTGTTTGGAAAAGGCTCAGGACATTGTTAAAGATGTCTGTCAGCATCATGTCCTGTCTCGTCGAGCAATTATATTTGTGGCTTTACTGAGTTTGAATCAGGTGAGCTATATTCTTTCTTTAAAGGGATCTGTAGTCTTTAGAAACTACTCTGTGGTCTTCACAGAATTTATTCCACCTATTCTTGAATTGATTACAATTTTGTACCCTTCATGGATTGCCATGAAGGGTACAAATTTGTTATTGATTAATGTTTGTGACATTTTGTCTGCAGTTCGCTCTTTGACAAAGTATTACATTGATCCCATTTGTATTGGTTAGGTAATGCGCTTGTTATCTGTCTTTTAGAGGGCAAGTGGGAATTGTACATTAAGGTTTTTTACACACTTTATCCTTGCTTGCTCTTAATGTTTTGTGATTCTCCTGATAAGTCAGAATCTCTTTACCTGTTCAATACTCATATGTACATGTATGTATATAAATTATGTGTATTTCATGTGTGTGTATTTAATTATCTCAGTCTTTATTAAATATAATAGCTATAAAAAATTTCCTTGGTCTGTATGTACACCATTTTTCAGCTGATGATATGGTAACTTGGGTTCAGTAGATGTTGACGGAATGCCGGGAGAATGTATATGGTGGACAAAAAGAAGTTAGTTATTCTGTAAATCAGTTTACAGCTGTTTGTAAAGATTTGGTGAGAAAAATTGTGTTTATTTGAAAGTTGATGTTTTGAAATATCGCAGGGCTTAGATGCATTGACAGTGTTCTGCCAATTTATTGTATCTTGTTTACATTTTTAAAGAATTTCCCAGTTGGTTTGTGCTCTCTGTTTGAGCTGTTGCTGTACTTGTAAAGAAATTTACGGTGGAGTGCGCTTAAACTGAACATGGTTAAATAAAAAACAATGGTAAACAAAGAAAACAGAATCCCAGATTTGTTCTTCTCTATTTAAGCAATCTGTTTGAACAAAGCTTAATTGAAGAAAATCCAGTTTAAGAGGACTCTACGTTATTACATTTACACCATTAACCTGGGTAAGAAGTTGGTTGTAATATGTTGTTTGTTCTGAATTTCAGAATGAACCTGACTTTGCCCTGGAGATACTGAAACAGAGTAAAGATAGTGTCTTGGTAACTAATGTGAAGGTATGTTGTTTTTTTTCTCTTCAGTGATTATTTTAATAGTTTGTCCATCAATGTCTGACGATGACCAATGCATTGCAGAGAAGAATATTTCTTAAGCGAGATAGAAAAAATAGGGGTTAAGATGACTTGTGTCTTCTGCTATGGCGAATGAGGCCAATTCTGGAAGAGAAAATTTTGCCACATTTCGAGCATTTAAAAGCTTCATTTTCACTCATGCAGTCATAGATGAGTTGATCTCTCAGGAACTTGGCTCTTCCATGTTGGAGGATTTATATTGAAGTCATTCACATACATTTTCAGGGTATCTTTGTGGCACTTTTTTGGCATGCCAACTGCACAGACTTATGATATTGAGTTTTTTAATTATGTAAATCATTATTGTGAATATTTTCTTTAGATTGTTACTAATGTTTGGCTTTTTAATTTGGTTCTACAAAATGCATAGATAGTCATTTGGAGGTGAAGCACTTGATCCCTGAACAGGACCATGGTCTTCTAACAATGGTGGCACCTTTGTCAAAACTTCCTCTTCTAAATTAAACTTTAATGGTCAAGTTCATTGCAAACAGGGTCACAGCTGTTGTGGGTTTTATTAAATAAACGAAGGGGGAGATATTATGTCTATACTGTTCCCTGAAGTATGTTTACATTTCAGAGAGTGGTATGGTATGTGAGAAAATGTTTAAGCCTAGTAGTAGATATCTAATTGTCTTCCCAGACAATCGTTATAACACAGATTGAACTACTTGGTGATTTAAAATTTGGATTTTGTCTTGTATCAGTGTCTGGAAATGGTATATTTATTCATAAATGTAAAATTTCCACCTGGAGCATTGCTCTTAGTGCTTTCATCTAGCACCATACAAAAGCTATGTTGATTTGTATGAGAACTAAGGTTGGACAGTTGCTTTCTTTTTATTTTTCCTAGATCATGTGTCTATCAAGACAAGGGGATCTTAAATCTACTTTTGCACAACTTGAAGAAGCTGTGGAAATATCAAAAAATATTACCAGACCTTTTGCTGCAAGATTGTACAGTGATACAGTAAGTTTAGTTAGTGTCCTCTCTCGCATACTCTTCAAACCAACATGTCGGTGGGGGGCTCTCGTGGCCTAGAGGTTAAGGTGTTGGCCTCTCATTCAAAGGTCCCGAGTTCGAATCCGGGTAGCGACCGAAAAATTTTCTTCTCTAAAATTGTCTCCTTTCACCTCCTTTCCTGCTCTCTAGCAATGTTCTGTTGTCTGCTTTTATTTCCACTTTCTGCCCCCACCCCCCTCACCTCCTTTGCCCCCTCCTCTGGGCTCCTGATTCTTTCTGCAGCCTTTCTACTGCTACTCCTTGGCTCCTCCTTACTGCTGTCTTTCTGCCACACCTCTGATCTTCTGGTAGGAAAGATCTACACCTAGCCTTCTCGGACAAGGGCGAAAAATCTCGGAGGGCCCGTGTGCAAGTTACGTTAAAGATCCCTTGGTGGTCTAAAATCGATAAGAGTAAGCTTCGGCCGCCACCTGGGCAAAATTCAAATCTTCCTACCAACTGAAAATATTAGGTGTGTCCCACACGCTCATATGACCTTGTGCAGTTGCGAGCTCCGTAAAACACTTACCAAAAACCCCCCAAAAAACCCAACATGTTGGTGTGAAGTGAAAAGCATGCTTCAGAAACACAGGCCAGTAGCAGACATACAGTATAACACGGGTGGGTTTGAAGGCAGAAGACTCGAAATCACGCATCTGTCAAACTGTGCCTGTGGTCCCGTTTTTTTCTTCTTTATCTTTGTAAGATATTCCTCAAACTACGGATCCCTCGAACTAACGAGGCCGGTTCCGACGAATTGGAGCTATCCAATTGTACTGTTGTTGGTTCTGTTATATTCTGACTTTCCTTATTTACCGTGATACTGTTTTTAATTGCAAGTGACACATGTGTGAGTTGTCACTGTTTCCCTATTGAAAACATAATTTCTTTATGGTGGTGTAATAACATTAAGTTTTTATTTTTCATAGTGTAGGCCTAGCATGTGAAGTCTTCATTTTTACATACTCTGTACAAAAGGTTTTTTGCTGTAGTAAACTTTTTTAATAGCACCAAAGCTGCTTTGTATTAAAAGATTTGCACTGTCATTGAGACTTGGAATAAGGAATAGTTGGATTAATTGCATATTCATGGAGCTCCTCTCATTTGCTTTACTTGCGTCTGAACTGTGTGCTTATCTGAAAATGACCTCTCTTAGAAAAAAATAATCGCAGCTGCATTCACATAATAGGCGGTAATCTATTTGATTTCTCTCTCTGTTACATAATCATACTGTTGAGGCGTCATGTACTCTTAAATTTAAAATCCTGTCATGAAATGATGTTCATTGATTCCAAAGAAAAAACTGCAGGATCAGCAAATACTGTAGAAGACGACAAAGATAGGACTTATCAGTACTGATGACCAAGCTTCCACAGGACTTACAAGCACTCTTTTTATTTTTGTAATATATTGCTCTTGGAAACCTTTTTCAGGGAAGTCATAGTTTCATTTAATTTCATCGAAAGCATTTATCTGTATTGTCATATCTGCTCTTCACTGAACGCTTATAAAATAATTCAACGGCATTATGTTAATTCTTGTATTATAACATTCTGTTTGTATCAAACTTTCCAGATGGGTGAGGTTCGTAAAGCTGTCAAGCTGCATGGACTGCCAGAGGATGCGATGAAGTTGGAGCGATTGGAGCAGCAACTGTCCTACAGAGGAGTCTTAAGTATTCAAGTTACCACATCCTTGATAGAAAGGATCATTCCTGGAGTGGAGTACTTCAGAAAAGACACAGGGAAACCACCTATAATAAACAATTCTCAGGCTGATTGAAAATTTCTACAGGTGTCCGTTGCCTTTTCTGTTTAAATTGCTTGTGTATGTATGTATAAATATAGTTGAGCACACATAACTTGAACAGGCAAAACTTATACTCACAGATAGCTTGAACAATATGCCCTACCCCAACTGACCTGCTGTATTTTCTTTGTATTGGCAGCACTGTATTCTTACTCATCTCAAAAAGCCTGTTCAAAAGATTTCCTCACAATTGTCTCGAATTAAAATCACCCTGCTCGCATGATGGAAAACAAACCCACCTATCAAAATTGAGAGTATCAGATTACATGGGCTCATCAGGCTCTTTTCCGTACAGGTTGATAAACACACTGTTGGTATTGAGATGCATCATCATGCATTATCTGTAGTGTGCATCAAGTGCAAGAACTTCCTTGAATCTAGTCATGCGAGAGAAGGTGCTGGATGGTAGGGTGTGATTGAAGACGACAGTGTGGCTCTACACTGGGCCATATGGAGTGTGTGTGTACGTGCAAGCGTGCGTGCATGTGTTTGATGTGTGTGTGTGTGGATCGAGAAGTGATTACACAAAAGGGGGTGCGTGGGTGGGTGGGTGGGGGTGTATGGTCCTACCAGTGTTGGTTACATTTTCATGATCATGATCTGATGTAAGAGCTATTCTTTTTTTTAGTCGTAAAGCTCATCAGCATCACTTTCTTCCTTTCTCTCGTTTCCACTTATCCATCTGTTTACCCTTTTTTAAAATCAATACTGGGTACAGTGGT